GACTCAAACCGGCGGACAAATATACGCCTGAACATGCGACGGAAACTATATTTTCCGTCGGATATCTAATTTTGCCGGCGGATTTTGTCCGCCGGTAATAAGGGTTTTTCCTGTAGTGGATCTACCAAAGTTTAAGCTTAAGCACCCTTTTATGGTTGGGATTTAATCAAGATTATTTAAAATTTATTAGCATTAAATTATTAAAATCAACAATATGATAAATAGTTAATTACTAGATGATTAACAAGTCATCTAGTATAACTAAAGATTAATCAAAGCCTGTGTTAAGTTCATTAATTTTTCATTAATTATATATATGTATATATATTAGCTATGATAAGCTTGGAATAACTAATAATCACATAATTAACTAGAAATCAATTATTAATTCTTCGATTATATTAATTAACAGTCCATTAGGATTTTTATTAAGATTCTTAAGGCTTTATTATTATTATTATTATTAAGTTAGGATAATTAGCAATGGCTTAATTAATAAAAACTTAATTACTTAGATTAACCAATAATTAACTATGATTGATCAGGCTTTTAAGTAAGATAATTCCAAAATAATTAAAGGACCTTAAATCAGCTTTAATTAGTTAATGTTCAAATAAAATTAGATGAGGATACTTGCTGCCTCACCATAAAGCAGCATGAAAGTTTAAACAAATAAGCTTAAGCCAAAATGCAATTAAAAAGTGTTCTCAACTTAGCTTACAACAGCATATTTTTTACACTAACCATAAGGCTTAACCCAGCTTAAAGGTTTAGCTTAGATAGGCTTATTTGGTTTAGTTTAATGAAAGCCCCAAGAAAATAGGCCCATAGTGTATACCATACAATGTCATAGCTGATCAAGCATTGCATCTGAATATACCTCATAAATTTATGGGTTACATACAAGTTGCTATTCACCGATAACTAAAAGGTTTCTTAGCTGAAACCTGGAATGAAACCCCCCTCAAAATGATTAAATGAAGACAATATTGTTTATAATGTTATGGATAAATTAGGATTACGTTAAAGAGTATACCAGTCATTAGTAATAGATATGAAGAGCTAATAGATAGTTTATGGGTCTTTAATAATTGTATTGTTTTTATAAAAAAATTCAATTGGGAGCTATTAGGAATGCAATAAAATGAACAAAATTCCCTTAAACTGAAATTCATCTTTTTCCTTCTCCCTTTTCTCTCAATCTTGTATTTTTCTTGGAGTTGCAATGGAAAATTACTCATTTCATTGCATACCTAATTGCTCCTAATGGTGACAATTTATAGAAAATACAATACTATTAAAGACTCATAAACTACATATTACTTATACATATTTAGTACTTAATAATTGACAAATAAATATTTTTTCATATAATCCAAATATACTCATTATAACATTTATCATAAAATTACAATCTCCTTCAAAATTGACTTGAAGCACACAGTAAAGTAAGATAAGCCTACATAAAAATTCAAGCAAAATTTTCAAGACATGAAATCTAGGCACAAAGGGTGGCAAACTTCAAGCGACAAGCGACCGTTAAACCGCACTTCCTTTTGCAAATCCGCAAGTGGCAATTGAGGCAACAACTAGTCCCCCAATTGCTCAATTGGTTCTTGCAATTGTGATGGTATGATTAGAGTCAGCTTGAGAGTGCTAGGAGTATCTTAAAAAATTGCAGCAACAACAACAACAACATCAAGGCTTTATCGAACTATGTGGGGTTAGCTACATGAATACTTTTTTCCCCATTATGTCATGTTTAGAGTCAAATTCTCATTTAAATCTAATAAAAAATGTCATTTCTAATATTTTCTAACTAAGTCTTTTTAGGTCTACCTCTTCCTTTCTTAACATAGGCTAAATCTAATACATCTACTCTCCTATTCAAGTCATCAGAAGGTCGATGTTTTATGTGACCAAACCATCTAAGATGACTCTCTCTAATCTTCTCTACCACTAGAGCTATTACAACCTTCACACGTATATTCTCGTTTCGTATTCTATCTATAAGATTGAAGCCACTCATCGACCTAAGCATCCTCATATCTACAACGCTTAACTTAGTTTTATGTTTCTCTTTCAATGGCCAACATTCTGCGCCATAAAATATTGCAGGTTTCACCGCCATCTTATTGAAATTCCCTTATGTATGATGGGTATTTTTCAATCACACAGCAAGCTCGATGCATTTCTCCACTTCGACCATCCAACTTGAATTCTACAAACAATATCCTCATCTATTTCACCATCACTTTAAATAATAGACCTAAGATATCTAAAAATGTGTACTCTTATTAATGACTTGATTACTCAAAGTCACAATCCCCCCTCCCAAACTAGATTTATTACAACTGAAATTATATTCCATCTATTCAATTTTAGATTTGCTCAAACGAAACCTTTAGACTCTAAGGTTGACCTCCCCAGTCTTATCAACAAGAAGAATATCATCAGCAAAAATCATACAGCAGGGTACATCCTACTGCAAATGTCTGGTAAGAACAACGATGGCTAAAGAACAAAGATATGGGCTTAAAGCTAATACTTGATGTAATCCAACTGAAATAGAAAAATTTATGGTCAAACCACTTTTTGTTTGAACACAAGTAATAGCTCCTACATACATATTCTTAATGACTTGAATATAAGCATAGCCCTTCTTTTTTAGAACTCTCCATAGCACTTCTCTTATAACTTTATCATATATTTTCTCTAAATCAATAAATATCATATATATATCCTTATTCTCTCTATAATTATCCACCAAACCTCTCAATAAATGTATAGCTTCCATTGTAGGCCTACCCTTCATGAATCCACATTACTTTTGAGTTGAGAAACATTAGTATCACATCGTAACATATGCTCAATAACTCTCTCCCATAGTTTTAAAGTATGACACATCAACTTAATTCCTCTATAATTTGCACAATCTTGTTCATCACCTTTATTCTTAAAAATAGGAATCAACATACTCCACTCATCTGAAATCTTTTTGTCTTCAAAAATAGTATTGAAAGGTTTCATTAGCCAAGAAATTCCTTTATTAATTTCAAAAAATTAAAAAAAAAAGATCTTCATCTCTTAAGCTTTTCCATACCTCTTTTAGAATATCATTAGATGCAACAACTTTTCCACACTTCATTTTCTTTAAAGCCTCTCAAACTTCGAATTTACTAATACGTCGATAAAAACAAAAATCTTTATTTTCATTTAGGGTGCTAAGATCACTAGAGTCAATCGTATTCTTACAATCAAAATATCTCGCCCACCTTTGTTAATTACCTTCTACTAAAAAATTATTTTTTGATCTTCATACTTAATACATTTCACTTGAACAAAATTCTTACTTCTCCTATCTCTTTGATTGACTAACTAACACATATGAATTTCACCCTCCTTAGTATCTAATATATTATATAAATCATTAAAAGCTAAATGTTTTGCATCTCATATTGTTTTCCTAGACTCCTTACGGGTATTTATATCTTTTCCAATTTTCCAAACTTTTACACCAAAATAAATTTTTATAATAAAGTTTCCTTTTTTATTATTTTTTTCTTGCACATTTTGATTCAACGACAACTATTTAACTATTATGATATTTTCCTTTTTTATACTACAAGCACATCCTTTGCAATATTCCTAATATCACTAACTAATTTTTCATACATAACATTAACTTTTTCATGCACAATCAAAATCTTAAGATCTTGAATCTTACTCTAAAAAATATTTTTACTATTCTTTAAATGTCTTCATCTAATCCTAGGATAATATTTTACTTTATTTTTTAAATTCCACCCCTAAATTATAAAGTCCAAAAAAAATTAGCAATGTTGGGTACATAAAATTTCACTCAGAATAACTTTACAATCTTTTCAATCTAAATAATATATTTTTCTTATAAGAAAATAATCAATATGAGCTTTAATCTATCTATTTTTATAAGTGTAATGGTGAAATTTATTGTTTAAAAAGGCGAAAAAGGCATACATGCCTCAATTTAAGGTGCCCAAAAAAAGCCCCAAGGCTTGGGCCTCAATGTCGCCCATGAGGTTTGCAACTTTTCTTATACAAGGCATACGCCTCAAGGTATTTGTGGCGTAAGCCTCAAAAAGTTAATGTAAAAAAAATTATATTAATATATAATATATACAATATAGATTATATTATATCTAATATAGAATATTATACTTGAATATCTTCTATTATATCTAATATATTCCATGAAGTCATCTGCCCCCATTGGGCTCCAGATTTTGGTCAAGTGTCCCATGAGTGTTGGGTTGTGCAAGGTTGAGAGTGGGTAGGTGAAACCTTCTGCATGCCAATCAGGAGTCTCATTATTTAGAAAAAGCATTTTTTTCTTATTATGTAATTTTGTTGTTTATATCTTTATAATGATGAACTAAGTAAACATGTGGATAGTTTGTCATATTTATGAATTATTCTTAATTTTATGAGTATTTTTTTAGGTTTACATCTCGATCCAATTCTAGTCTTACATCTCATCTTGTTAAGGAAAAATGCCTTAATTCCCTATTTTACCTTTTTGAATCTTAGTGAAGCAAGAGGGAAGAATTTAAATAATGAGTTGGAACAGGTGCTTGTATCAATAATTGATTCAAGTAAGGAATGCAAGAAGGTTCTTAAATTGTGGATTGGACTGCTTGAGTAGGAGAACATGCATCTAGGACCAATTGAATCACACAAGAAGCTCGAGAAAGTGCCTGCTATTTGTTAACTATCTGAGTGCATGAGGAGCCAGATATTTATCGTTGGACTAAAAATGTGGCTAAGTTATAGGAGCTCATCTACAACCAGCTATGATGTCAAAATCGGAGTTAGCATAGGCATTACTTCAAGTCTACTCAGTTTCCTTTTTAATGTTGTGCATAATATTCCAAATTTTATTAAATTTTTGGTAAGTTCGTTTTTTTTATCCAACAATTTGGTCACTACACCCATTTCATTGATCATTGGCCTTAAGGGGAATTTCATCAAACATTTTTCTTGCATTTTTAAATAGGTGAGTATAAATCACGTAAGTGATCTAAACAACAACTATTGTAATTGAGAAATGGTGCAATTGCTTGGAATTGAAGGCAACATTTTAGATTTCCAAAGCGAACAGAAACAGATCCAAGGAGACCACCACTTATACAAACATGTTTGATTGAAGGGGATAAATAGTGGGTGTAGTTCACCAGTAACTCTAAGTGAATGTAGAATTTAAAGAAGAGGGATTTAGAGAAAGAATAGAATTTAGTTTATTTATTTGCATACCTTATAGCTCCCAAAGGAGACTCTTTATAGAAAATGCAAGACTATTAAAACCTATAGACAACCTATTTGTCTTCATTCCTACTACTTAACTATTGACTCAGAAATACTCGTTAATGTAATCCTAATATACCAATTGCATGCTTCGCCATAAAATGTCAAAAATGGCAGCAAATATATAAGCCCTTACAGCTAACTGACGATATGGACGAAAACTAGATAAGATTCCTGCTTCCTACAACTTCAGTAGTACGCTTGATTCTCGGAGATTCAGTTTCTACCAAGTTGCCCATAGTAAGACAACGGAAAGAGAGTTATGGGATGGTTGGGCTGTAGGTGTTACCCTCTTTTGCAGTAAAACCTCTCGCTTGACTTTCCAATCTTCCTCAGCTGCAAATCAGTTCCATGAATAAGGAATGAACACTCAAGAATGTAAATTCAATAAATTAAGAAATAAAGCAAAAGATACCAGGAGATTTGGGGGGCTTTGTTGCAGTGCATTTGACCCCGAATCGACCAACAGGGGACTGCGAGAAGCAGCTTTTGCTCGCCAGGGGCAGTGGAAAGGAATTGACAACCAACGAAGATGGACACCATAAGGATTTAGAAGCAGTATTAAGTAGCCAAGGGTTTGTAAAAGAACTAGCGGCGAGCATGTTTTCGAGCGTAAGGCGGAGACGGTTAAGCAGACTAATCAAGCGTGTACGTATGAGATCGCTGGCGGCACCATCTTTTCATCCCGATGATTGTCTTCTCTATAATAGTTTGGCGCGGACCCAGGGCAAATCCAAACCGGTGGTGGAGGATAATTTGCCCCCTCTTTCATGAGGATTTTATTTTGTTTATTATTTTTATTTTTTTACAAACATATCATCTTAATTAGAATTTTATGATTATCATACTATTATTTTATTTTCTCAATTTTTCATCAAAGTTATAAAAATCGGACCAAATAACAAATTAAGAAAAGGAAAAATTAATGGTTCAATGATCCGACTAGACTAGAACGAAATGACTTAATAAATATTAATTATATTACGATATTATATAGTTTACGTAATGCAATTATATGGAAATATCTAATCAAACATTAAACATAATCGTAATATGATGAGTAAAATAGATAGAATAAATAAATTCATTAATTTTCAAATTAAATACATATATTATTTGATTAAGATCAAGTGTCCACAATCACATCATAAAGTGAACAAATAGATGATTTATTAACTTTTTAGCAAACGAACAAACATAACATTTTGAATACATATGAAACTCTAGTAAGCAAATTTGGCGACAAGGCGTGATAGATTGTGACACCACAACGTTTGAAGATAATGAACACGGCACTACTAAGTTTAACATTTTTAAACCACGGTGCTGTCAAATAGAGAAGTTTGCGCTGCCATGTCAATATTATGGTGCTCCATTGAAGTTTGCGCTGCCATGTCACTTCTTTATTTGAATTCATAGATTAAATATTCATTAGTTCACCATCATTTGTACTAGTTTTCTTATTTTATCATTTATAAATTAAGTATAAGATTGTAATCAAATTCTAAGCTTTTAACTGATATTAATTTTTTAATGTACTCAACTTTTTTTTTTCTTTTTAGAACCATTTTTACAATTCTTTTTCTTTTTCAGTTTATAAAATATATAGTCAATGATTTTGAATATCAGTTTTTCTACAAAATCTTTTACAATCTTAATGAATTTTATGTAATGATTTAATAAGATTATCAATTTTAAATTCACGTTGCTTATGATTTCAAATTTTAATCTACTCATATCTAATATTTAATCCTAATTATTCATCTTCTTTTTTAAAAATTAATGCATAAATGAATAACTTATAATTCAAATTAAAATAATAACTTAAAACTATCTAAGTTAGTTAATTATTAATTTTTTCACTCTATGAAATATAAATAGTATTCATTTGAACTATGATCTAGGGTTTTATTATTATCCTTATTTTACATAATTTTTAATTATCATTTTTACTAAGATTAATTAAATAATCAGAATACAAGAGATAATAAAAATAATTTTAAGTATGAGGGAAATTTTAATCAAATATAAATAAAAATACAAACTTTAATTAACACTGCATTTGCTTCCAAATAAATGATAAAAGGTGCATAAAATATATAATAATATAACATGAACATAATATAGTTTACAAGATAACTAGAGCATTAGGCATCAAAAATAGTGTATTGTCTCTCATAACCAAAACAATAAGTCATGCTCACATTACATATACCAATTTCTCTTATAACTAAATTCTCTTATAAAAGACATGAAGTAAAATAATGATATAAATACATATCCTCGTTTTCTCCAAAATCAAGATTTCTTTATTCATCTAATCCACACTATTTTAATCCATGACCACTGACCTTCAAAATGTGAAAATTTTTCTTACATTGAATTATGATGGCACCATTGAGATATATTCTAATAACAATATGCCAATCCATTAAGATTTAAGTTTTCCATGGCAAAACTTCTTCTTGTAATCAAATAATAGAACATCTTAATTAGGAGAAATTTCATAATCTAAAACTTAACATTTATGCATTTTCTTCATATGTGTCATGTATCTTCATGAACTTCATCTCTGAACTCATGAAGTTTATTAATGATAGCATAACTCTGTATGTGGAGAGGAGAAAAGAAATCTTTAGTTTTTAAATATTCTTCATTTCTAATCCTTGAGGAGGAATGTCTTTACTTAGTTCTACCCATTGCTTAAGTTGAATTTTCAGGAAGAGAAAAGATAACACTACACTTAAGAAGTGACAATGATTGAGAATTAAACTTCCAACATGTAGTATTTCACTAGGATCTTTTTTCTTTTGCTTTTGGGTTAATTTCAGTATTGTTAGGTAAAGATCCAAGAAGTCTACTACTAACTAAATTACAAGTAGTCTTAATTGGGTTTCTAAATATTTGATAGAAGCAACTTTATTTTATAATTGAATATATAACTACATTACTACATCTTCTAATGCTTATATTTTATTTTTAAAATTAATTACTTTGATTAAATCCTAGAAGATATATAAATATAGGACTAATAGCATAATATTGAGGATTGTTCCAATTTGCTCCTTGATTATTCTGCCCATTATTCCATTGATTGTTACCACCTATATTATTTGGCCAATTAAAATTAGGATGATTCCTCCAACATGAATTATATGTATTTGAATAAATATTATTTTATCTTCTAATTACATTAATATTTTAATCCCTTGCACATTATTATCTTTAATTGAATTTGATCCACTAAAGATTTAGTTCCTATTCTAGAATTTACTCATATTGTATTCAACTTCTTAGAAATTGTTGTAAATTGTGTAGTCAAGATTGATAAAGCATCAAAGTCATAAATTCCTACTTCTTCCTTAGGATTTATTCTTTCAACAAGCCACTAAAAATTATTAGTTGTTATTTTCTCTCTTAATTTATAGGCTTAGATATTAATGATACTCTAGCTGCAACATCAATTATAGCCAAGGTTGTGAAAATTATACTAGATAATGAATATATAACAAACCCCAATTAATGTGCGCATGTATATATATTTAATTGAGTAATAAACTGATAGAGTATAGTATAAAACTATGATAAAGTTTGTTTTCTAGCAATTAACTACTATTTTTTATTCTAATTACGAAATTATCTTAATGAAATAAAAATATGGGTTATGGAGATCCAATCACTAAATAAAAATAGTAAAAATTATGGATGCAATATTTAAATAAAGTATTTTAGATTTATAAATATAAATTGTATGTCTTTCCGAATAAAATTCTTATTTGTAATTTGATTCAAAGCATGTGCATTCTTAGATTTCTATCAAGCTTGTAGGAGTTACAAGGATATCTGCTGACCTTCTACAGTTATATCATCTCTTTAAGAATCTAGCAAATTTTATATCCTATGTCTAGGTATGCAAACATACTATTTAAATTTTTTCTGGTTGTTCTTACATTCCTCCGTTGAGTCTATACATCACACTAGGTTTTAACAACACATATGGCCACTATATGTATTAAATAAATAGTGAGAAAATATTAAAAACATTATTTAACTATAGAGTTCAAGAATATTTATTAATACTTATATATTATCTACATCATCAATCCAAAACTATAGAATTAGTCAAACATGGAAGAAAGGATAAGCAAACTACAAGAGAATGATATCACAAGATATGATCAATGTATATCCTCTACACTTCTTCCTTAACAAATAAAGTTACTTACACAAATATTGACTAAACACTATAATAATTGTAGTTAGCACTTCTCTAGTCTCCCTTTGAATTGATACTAAGAGTGATCTAAAGAAGTACTATGAAAAATATTGAAATTAGGCAAGTGATTGAACTCCCTCACAAACATAACATAATAAATATTTATACGAAAACAGAAATTAGGCAACTAACTCGATGGAGTTTGAAAAATTTGCACCATTGTGCCCATAAAATGAACCAACGCTACTATGCTAATGTTTTTGCTTCCCCATTGTTCTTGCTGACATGGGACGATTATTTACTAAACAATCTTGTTGCTTAGCTGGCAGTTTGTTTCCTTTGAAAGTTACAATCGCTACACTATATCACTGCTTAATTTTAAATACTATAGTGCCCGAGTGGCAAATTTGGTGCTAAGGCGTGATAAATTATCACATCGTGGTGCTTGAAGGCAATAAATATGGTGCTGCCAAGCTAACCATTTTGACATTACAATGCTGTCAAATGGATATGTTTGCGCTGCCATCTCTATATTATGGAGCTCCAACAATGCCTTTGATTACGCTATAATATTAATTTGTCTAACACTGTGGAGCTTGTTGATACTTAGAATTTTGTGCCCTTTTATATTTTTCCAATGCAACAAAATTAAAATAATATATTTTCACTAAAAATATAACATATAAAATAATATATTATTTACACTTCTCAAGAAGCCACGCTGACTTAGCCAAAAGATGTGCCTTTTTCAATCATTAAATGTGCCAAGTTAACTAGAATCGTAGCAGAGGAAATATCACAGTGTTGAGATGCTAGTTCATTTTATACTAATACGATGTCACCTTGTCGAGGGTCACATCACTTAAACATAATCTTGTACTTACTATTATTAGTTTTTTAGTTTTATTATTTGGGGAGATCTATCACTTGAGCAAAATTTTATAATTTTAAGTTTATTTCTTCAGTATGCCCTTAGAGTTAAGTCTTAAGGAGGCTAGGGAAATGTAAGATACTTTCATTATGGATATCTTTCCCTATTTATGTAAGAAATTATGTGGTTCAAGGATGAAGTGTGATGAAGATCATTTAATCTTTCTAGGCAATAATTTTTTTATTACTTCTCTTGTATCCATTACAGGAAAAACAGCCAATACCGGCGGTTATATGGCCGCCGGTACTACCGACGGTTTGCCCGACAGTCTAGCCGCCGGTTAATACAAGCGGCTCACCCGGTGGTTTTCTAGATTTAGACCGCCAGTAATAGCGGCGGTCGTTTAACAGCAGTACATTAAAAATACCGGCGGCGTTCCGGCGGCGTAAATCGTCGTTGTTAAGTAAACTCAATAACGGCGGCGCGGACCTCCGGAAAGCCGCCGGTACAAGCCCTAAAAATTACCAGGCCCGAGCTTCCCCTCTCATGTCTAATTTCTCTCTTACTTCGGACGTCCTCTGTGCGCGTCGCCTCCGCCCGCTCTTCGCTCGAGCTGGACAATTTTTAGGAGTTTAAATGATTA